TGATGGATACCGGGGATCAAGGACGTTTGAACCCGGTGCCGCGGAAACTCGGAAGGAGGCGATTAAAGTCCAGAATATACACATTCATATATATATATATATGTGTGTGTGTGTGTGTGTGTGTGTGTGTGTGTGTGTGTGTGTGTGTGTGTGTGTGTGTGTGTGTGTGTGTGTGTGTAGGTATATATGTATATATCGGTTATTGGAAATCGGGAGAGGTGAGGGAGAGCCTTTCGAAGAAGCTCCGAGCGCATCGACCCGCCATATCCCTCCGGTCTGTCTCGCTTCTGCCTGTCTCGTCGACCTCTAATCCTGTAAACCCCCCTAAGGCTGCGTTCGCAACACCTCGCGCGAGAAAACCGAGTAAAACGGAAATTTCGCGCGATCTCTCGCGCCCGGCTTACCTCCCGGGGTAACCCGCTCAAGTATCGATATCGAATCAGCGACACGCCGGGATCCGCGGGCTTCTCCATGGCGAATCTCCCCGGCGACGGGACGAAGCGATCTCGCGGAACGGAGTTCGTACAAAGAGATTTCCGTATACGGCATTATCGTGCGCTCGCATTCTTCTCGCGCAGTTTCACGCGGCTATCATATTGGAGGCGTGCAAAAGTCGGTCAGAATTTTAGCTATATCTTTTCTCATGAATAGTAACGAGACGGTACATGTGCCGTGTTTAATCAAGCTATCTGCCATCGCGCATTATCCGCCATTTTCTGCCGACTTGCAGCGAAATTATTAATGATACGACGATCATTTTTGCAAAGCCCCAATATACAGGGGATTTTTGTGCCCACAGCAAGATTCATATCAATTGTCAAGTACTCACGTACTCTGAATCTGCAGCTTCCATTTAAAAGGAAAAAACTGTTATTTTCTACATGTTTGATATATTTTTTTTCCTTTAGAATCACGTCCATCGAGTTGCACCACTTCATATCTTGACGTCATTTTGTTATTTATTCTCGATTGGCAACGAAATATGGATGACTTATTTTTCATCGTCGATGAAATACGATGAACGTGTTCCTCATCGAGAGGTCGAAATTATCCACGCGCTAATCCACCAGCGCAGCGTATCGGAGCAGAAAAGAGCGCGCGGAAGAATTAGTTTGCGGCCGGACTAGAGTCGGGCAAATGAAGCGAGCACTCGCGCAAGACAATGCGCTCTCTCGCAGTTCGCGTAACGGCGTGCCAGCATAAACCACTTAGAGTCGGATTTGCGCTCTTGCGGCGCGATTCCGTGTGCACGGAGCTTCGGGGCTATATTCCGCGGCTTTGCAGCTGCGAGTTAAGCGGAGGCTAGGCACATATACGCGGCGACGTGTTACGTGGGTGGCTCTAATCCTTAAGGAACCCGGCGATAAAGACGGTCGGGGACGTGCCCTCCGGAGTGTCGTGAATCCAACCCCATTCGGAAGGACGCGGCGCGGCGAAAATACCAAAATCGAATTGCCGAGTAATTTCCTCCCTAATGCACTGGCCTCGTTGCTCCGGAAACGTGCGCGGACGTCGGCGGCACCGCAAAAACCGCCGAATCTTCTGTCCCCGGGACGCCATGAGAGAAATAGAGAGAGAGAGAGAGAGAGAGAGAGAGAGAGAGAGAGGGAAGAAGAAGAGGGATGGAGAAAACTCGCCGGGATACGAGAGCGTTGAACGCGGACTGGCGCTGCAAACCTCCTCGTTGTTTTCGAAACGCCTCGACTTTCGACGAGAACGACCGTTCCGTCCCGTCCCGTATGCGCGATTCAATTTCACTGCGCTCGCCGCATTGAAAAATAAATTAGCCGTTTCGGGAGCGATCGTATTTTATCGTGTTTGCGATCCGCGATTTCGACGCGGCGGAAGTACGGGAGAAAGAATCGCGAGATGCAGACAGACATGCCGTTCTTAACTCTCCGCGTACAATCATATTTTCTGGAGCGTGCAGTATAATCTGGACCTGTCAGACCCGGGAGCAACTCTAAACTATTTTGTTAAAAATCAATATTTTTGGACACATTATTTTTCCAGAGATACAGCCTTAGCTGCTAGATAGCAGTGCAATAAAATAAAAATCTAGCAGATTTTAAATAATAATTTAATTAATAATTTAGATTTAATTTGGATTTAATTAATAAAAATTAGATTTAATTATTTTAAAAATCTGCTAGATTTTTATTTTATTGCACTACTATCTATTTAATTTTTAGCTAGATTTGCGTTATTTGGAAATTGTGTCTCGTTTTCTCTTGTCTCGAAAGGTGGAAGTCGACGTTTAATACGTTTAGTATCAAGTGGACGTACTTGGCTTGCTTCGGCCGAATATCGGGATATTTTCGACCGGAAGTAACGGCCTTGTCGAAATTAATTGATTTCATTCCCGCCTCGAACATATTTCCCGTTAATCCACTTACGATAATTAACTCGGCATCGAACTGCGTGGCAACAAGTTCGACGACGCTACTACGACAGATCGTTCTTCTGCGAGGCTATTAATACTTAAGGGCGATGTGTGCGCTAATGGATGAAATCGTGGGCGGCCACCACAAATAATGGCGCGACGCGAAAAAATAAGCCGAAGGCCGGCCGTCGTGTAACGCGCTCGGAATCTCAGTTGTAGTAGGAAAATCGCGATTGCTTTGGCCTCGTCTCAAAACGCCAGTCTATTTGGCGATATTTTCGCGACGCGAAGAGAACGCGCGCCCGATGTTTATCGGTCGCCGCACGCGTGCAGCGTTCGACGAACTGTGGTTGGTCGTCGTTAATCCTTCCGCTGCGCGAAGTTATTATTCGCAGCCTCAAAAATAAGCCCCCCATTTATGATCGACGCATACGTGCCGAAAACTGATAAAAACAAATTAAACAACAGCTTATTATTTTCCAAATGTCACGATGTGCGACTGTTCAGAATTTACATGTAATCTACGTGTCAATTATTAACAAAGCAGAACATGCGTGTAAAATTGCTCGTTCCTTCTTTCGGGAACTTTCCTCTCGCGATTTAATGAATCTACCATTCAGTAGCCCGTTTCCTCTTTCGATTGTCAAAATGGTAACTGTTATTAAGGAATATCTAACATTCCAATACACCTAAAAAAAATAATTTGGCCTCAGCGGAATTCCGTGAACACCAGAAGATTTTATACATGGTTTACGAGAATTCTTCTAACACCAAATGGAAAATATTCCAGACTCAGTAATCTTAAAGTTAGAGAAATTCTGTCTTTTATTTCCAGCGCAAGTCTTAATAGAAATTTCTTCAAGGGAATTCCGCTTCAGTGAACATACATATACCTCTTGATTTAAAAGCAAAAAAGAAGTTGGTATAATATCTACTTTTAATAAAAGCTTTCATCTCGAATATGGGATCGCGCGAAAAAACATCCTTGAAATCAGAGTTCGTGTTTCTGTCTGGATGTGTCGAAGCGCGTACATAGTGGCATTTTTGGTTGAAGCGCGTCGCAGCGGAAAGTTGAGCTTAGATCGTCGGCGTTAATTACCGAGTGGAATGTTTATTTTCGAGGTAAGACGAGATCCGCGCCTACTAATCCAACACTCGACGGGCCGAAATCGCTCGCCGCAACGTGCCGCGTATTTCCGAACGGATCTGCGTCACGTTTACGTGTCCAATCGCGTTGTTGTTCATCGAAGCCATCGCGATGAATATTGATCGCCGGCCGTGTGCACGATGAAAAATGAACGAAAGTGTAACGATCGCGGAGCTAATCGAGAGTAATGCCCGTCTTTTCCCGGCCGGGAAGTCGCTCCGTCAGTTGCGCGGCGCGTAACGGTCGAGTTTTCCGCGCTTCCTGAGAATATCTCTCGACGGGCGATTCCGCGGGATACGAGACGACCTCTTCGCGCGACCCCGGACGGAGTGTTTTCTCCGTAAGCAAGGGCGAGGAGTAAAACGAGAAAAGGTCGAGGGCGTTTAAAATTTTCTTAAGTAAGTCCGCCGCTGAAAGCACGCGCGCGCGTATGATCGTCCAATTTACATTAAGGGAACAGAAATGCTATAAAGTGCAGTATTTCATCCCGAGACCTCACCTAAAAACTGCTACTCAGTTATTCGGAATAAAAAATAACTTTTAATGGAATGTTTGTCTTGTTATAAATATATTCTCCTCGCCAATTTGCGTAGGAAAGTATTGAGGTAAAAAATAAAATAGAAAAAAGAAATATATATAATATTTTATCTGAATATATCTTGAGATACACAAAGACTAAATGTTTCGTAAAATATCCATTTTCTGTTGATTTTGCCGTAATATTTATACGCGCGAGATGATTTGAAGAGTAAATAAGAGGAAAATGTAAGACGAAGTAGCGCCTGAGATATACTTTGCTATGTGGAATGAACACCACTACTCGTAATTCCGTTTCTTCTTTCCTTTCGGTGGCCAGTTCCGTCGTGAAAATTTTTGCGAATAATCGCCGGCGCGGCGATTATCTCAATAATTTTCACTAACGATCTGCTCGAACGTGCAATGTTCGCGGGCACGTCCGGTGATGCAAGCTGCCCGTGGAAAATAATGCAGCCCGCTTCGTCCCGATATTACATAAATACGGAATAACTTTACTGAGAGGTGTTACCACCATTCTCTGCTAATGGCGCGCCGCTTCTTCTTCCTTCTTTCGTCTCCTGTTTCAGCGCGCAACCTAGCCTTCTCGGCCGTCTAAAAAGACGTTAGCTACGCGAACAGGCTGCCTTCAGACTCATTTTTCGTTAGCCTAAGCTCGTTTCCGTGTCGCGTCGCCGAGATAATGCTCTTCTCCCGTTGTCGATAATACGATTTTGTCCGGCCCCGTGTCGGCCGTTTCTCTTTTGCGAAAAAATAAATAACGCTCTCGGCGCGCCGCGTGGGAAATCCCAAAGAGAAATTTGCGCGAATTCAGCCCACGGCATATTTTAGTCATTCAATTCGGAGTCCGCGGAGTGAACGAGTGAAATTTTTATTTCACTCGTAAAAACGTCGAAAGTACGGGAAACTTTAAAGAAAGAGACGGGTGGCGCTCACCTCTCATGTAGATGTAAGCGGCGCCGCGCATGTTCCTCCTCGTGAGAACGACGAGATTCAGGATGTTGCCGATGATGCCGAGGCAACAAATGGTTGGCATCACGATACCGTAACTGACTCTTCTCAGAGCCGGCGTTCGAGGATCCTCCATGTCTTCCAGCAGCAGGCAGATATTCCGAACGTCGCTTGTATTGAACACGTCCACCATCTTGCCGTTCTCTCTTCAGCGCCTCTCACAACTCGCGATAAGTTTGTCCGTGCCGCGAGCCCATCTTCTCTCGTTCGGCCATCGCGCGCGCATTTCGCAGTTAGCTTAAGGGAGCGCTTCCTTCAACGAGTTTCTGCGCGACGTCGCAGCCCGGCGGCATTTCACGCGACCCCGAAATCGCGGTTACGAAACGAAACTTTGAGAAGATGCGAATCGAAGGAGAACCCGACGACGATCGTCCCTCTTGTCGAATAGGCACCGATTTGGCGATACGCGGCGGTCGTGTATCGTGCGCATCCGTCAAAAATACACCTGTCACGCAACAGGTGTGGCAAAAGTTTCATTCTACCGTGGGCACCATGCGCGAGTTTAGAAGTCCGAGCGAGAGTCCGTCGGCCCCGAATAAGCGGCTTTACCGCCCCTCCCCCTCCACCGATATCCGCGACTGCTTATTTCACCGAGGAATCTGAACGTGTTCTCCTTGACAATTTGTACGCCGGCATCTTCAAGCGGCAGCTGCGCTACGCCGAACTATCCTGAAAACAAACAGTCGTCCGTGAATGCATTCGTCGCAATCGTCACTTGTTTATTCGTTCGGGTAGTTTCATATAATATTTTCTATCATAAAAAGTGACATAATTGAATGCTTTTATGCTCATATAAATAGACAATTGGAAAAAGATCGCGTTTGGATAAGAGTGACTTAAAATTTTGCTTTTAAGATTCAATAAGTTTCGCGAAGTTTAATGATTCTCTAATAGGTCAATTTTCCTCGATATAAGTTCTCCTCGACAGAGGAATTTGTATTCCGCACCATTCTTGGTTCATTGAATATGACACTTATTGAGTAATATAAATTTATTCGAGAAATTCCTGTCTGTCGCATCACGTATTCTCCATAAATTCGCGCTGCCGAATTCGCGGGGGCTGCAAAAATGCGGGATGATTGGAAGTAAAATCGAACATCCCCTGTCGCGAAAGGCACGCTAATGAATCGGGCTTCAGGCGTGATTCTTCGCTTCTCGCCGGTTTTCTCCCCGTTGCTTGCCGCACAAGGCAAGCCCGAGAAATGCAGAGCAGCGCGCCGCGCCCCGTCTCGCGCGTCGAAGGAAGGAAATCGTTGCACCCGCGCGGATTTAGATTCAGGCGTCGACTCCCCCACTTCCGGATTTCGAGAGTTTGCGGTTCGAGAAACGGCTGAAATTCAGATCCCGGACGAAAATGGATAGCGCGCTCGTCCGCCGACCACCCTCGGCAACCCTCTTGGGCGACTCCCTTCGGGCAACGGTGGCGGTCCCACTCCAGAGTGTCGCCAGCCCAGTTTATATTCAAGACGTTCGTGTCCCCGCGCGCGCGAGTTCCGTTCGTGGCGAAATATTCCTCTCTGTCTCTCTCTGTCTGTCTCTTTCTCTCTCTCTTTCTCTCTCTCTCTCTCTCTCTCTCTCTCTCTCTCTCGGCGGAGGTCAGAGGGCGATTAAAAAGGGGAACCACGTCGCCTTGAATATAATTTTGGCGTGTTGTCCTCTGTCCGAGTTCCCGACGAAAATGCTTCCCGACGGCGCTTCCCGATCTCCGCGCCTACCGTCCGTATCCGACGATTCGCCATCAAAGCGAAATAGTAAAGCGCACCCTCTGTCCCACCGCGCGCAAAGTTTGCGATCGAGGCAGCCCCAGGAAGTTGAGGCGCGGGATCGCGTTGCACACTGGTGACGTCCGCGGACGGACGCGATTCGGGAACTTCCTCCTACGAGAAGTATATTCCGCCGCACGAGTTTCCGGCAGATATGAGTTGAAAATCGATTTTCCGCGACCGTCAGCAAAATATTCGCTTCAGTTTCTTATCGTGTCGACTCGCGCGCAGCTTCCTATTGTGTGTCGGTTTCCTCCCTTCTCTCATTCTCCCCGAATATTTACAAAATATCTACAATTACAATGATATTCTCTCTGATTAATCGCCTTTTCCTTACGGTCGCCGAATTGAGGCAATACGGGAAAGAATATCGGGACTACATATATCCGCTAGCGATCGTCGTTTTGTCAGAAAGCAAACATGTTTTTTCCTTCTCCAAGAGTCAAGATCGAAACCGCTGTCCACAGTTGTCCCCTGCTCCTTAAATAAAACGTGCCGTCTTGTGGAACCCTCGAGGATCGTAAACGAAATTGCGTACTCCCGGCGTCTCGACACATCAGACTAGTCTAAGAGCGAGATTTAGATATTTAGGTCCTTCCGAATTAACAGCGTCTGAGCGCTGTTCTCGTATTTCATTCGATCATTGTGTAAACCGTCGCAATTAGACCGAATAAATTCGCACGAATTTATCGGAATCAGCGGTTCTTTCCTTCGGCTCGTCACTCCGCGAGGTGCGAAACAATCGGCGAGTTGAGCGAAATAATCAACTGGCCGTCGTGAACTCGAGAATGACAGCTTGAACCGGATCGCTAGCCCGGACGCGGAGATTACTCAAGCTTCCGCGTGTAGCGGGGGATTACCGGGATTAATCCACAACGTCCTATCCCCGACTTCGGGGATAACGTCCTGCAAATCCGCGCGTTTTACGCTTTGCTTCGCAAATGTTTCCCGACGCGCGCGCTCTCTCTCCTGCAAGATCAACGAGAACGAACCGAAGGGTATCGCGAATTCTCTCAATGGCGAGCAAATACGGGAATACGCGCCTCCCGTCGTTTCGCAGATAGCTTATCGATCACTTAACCGAGATACGTCAGTCTCGTTGCTCACCGGCACAAATCCTTTATATCATCTTTCCTTGTCCTCTTTTGCTCTCTCTCTCTCTCTCTCCCTCCCTCTCTCTCTCTTTCTCTGTTTCTCTTTCTCTCTTCGTGCGGATCGCGTGAAAAGACGAGTTTACGGTGTAATAGACCCTCCCCAGGTATAAGCTGTAAAATCGCGGTCGGTAGACCGTCAAATTGCAGCCCCGGCTGGCTGATGGAACAAGGCGGGCAGATGAGATCTCTCGTTCGCTCTCTCTACCTTTCTCTCTCTATCTCGCAAGTTTCCGAAACTCGAGAAGACGTGACGGATTTTTTAAGTACAATTACGAACGCGTTACCTTTCGTTCGCGCGATATTCGAGGGATGAAGCGGAGCGGCGCGTAAGCGGCTCGTAGTAGGTAGGTTGCGACGAGTACCTGATGAATTATTCCGTCGAATTACGTCGCGCGACAAACGTATGATTACCGCGTGCCATTTGAATATTATTATCATAATGTTAGGAAAATATTCGAAATTGGCGGGCTCGCGGGAGATCCGAGGGATTAAAAGTTGTATTCGCGCAGGGCGAGAGGGAGAGACGGCTCTTGATATTCAAATGTCGCTCCAGCGAAAAACCGCTTCCTTCAAAGTGAGATGTGCTCTCTGCTCGCGACGAGAGGTCGGGAGAAGTCAAAGTTGCGCGCACTGATTGTAAATTACTCATATTAGCATTGGTGTCACGAATTTTCTTTCTTCTTGACAGTTCTTACAATACAACGGCTGCAATCGTAAAAATATCAATCAGACTACTATCAACATTTTTAAGCATCCCATGCACAGTTGTGTTATTTTGAATAATTATTCCTTTGTCATAGTTGTACAATATCTAACAACTTCGATTTGTGACCATAATTCAGTTTTCGTTTTTGATCAAAAATTTTTAGCGCAACTATATTGATCCTACAAATAATGGCTGAGAAAAGAGCGGTGTCAGAAAGTTATTTAGAGGGTTTCACAAGACTCTTGGGACGAAAATATTGGCATGCTCGTCCAGGATTAAAAGAGGACTAGCACTTTAATTAAATAATTAAGAAGTCGTTAAATTAAAGTAATACAATTAAGATTTAAGTCAAGGGTTTCCATAATCAAGTCGCTTTGCGAGAACTCGAACGAAAGTCGAGGAACGCGCGGAGATGAGAAACTTTTTACGCGCCGATGAGGCTGATCGACAGCTCTCCGGTTTGACGAACGCTCTTTGAGTTCACCCTCGCGAATTGATGGCTCGCTATCTTATCGCGAATCAGGTCGTGACCAAGTCGCCCGACTGGCCGAATACTGTTCGTAATTGCTATCGCCTGGGAAAAGTGCGTCGTTGACTCCACGACGCGCAGAACTTTCGTTCCCTTCGGTATGATTCGTAGATTCGTCGATACGCGTGGAAGTTTCCCATGAAAGTTGACGCGCCCTCTGCGACACACAAGGACACACGACCGTCGCCGTTGCGCTCTCGATCTTCACGTGATTCTCGATAGTTGACTTTCCCTCTTGATCGAGTTTACTCGCTCGAATTCGCGGTTCCGCTCGAGCCGACAGGAAATCGTCCTCATCGCGCCGATAATCCTCGGTGCAAACCTCCTTCTCCTCCTCCTCCCTCTCCCCCTCCTCCTCCTGCGGAAGTTTCGCGAGGACGAGTGGAGTGCAGGGTGGGTGGAGCGGGCGCATCTCGTGCACACATACACACAGCATTACCGCGAACGAGAGCGTGGGTCGTTATGCTAAAACGTTGCAATTCGATCCGCGTTGCGTACACACCGCGCGCGTCACCTGTTATCCGCGTCACCGCACGTGTGTACGTAGCAGCAGCGACGCGCGTGCACACACGCCGCTTGGAAAATACGCCGACGATAAATCATGGAGCTGCTGTGCCACGGGAACAACAGCTCGTCGCGAAGGGCTTTAACGTAAGAACGAGGCGGCTGCAAACTTCTCGTATAAACGATTTCCTATTAGCTGAGCTGTTGTCCGCGCAACAACAAAGCCTCAACTGCGCGTGAACGGAGCAACTGAAGCTCGAGATATCTCGCGCAGAAATAAATACTATTTATGTTTATTACTTTAGCAATTTGTTAGTTACTTAACTAAAATTATGTAAAATTATGAATGATATCATTTTCAATCAGTGGTGGAAAGATACTTTCAATGTCGATAAACTGCAGCAGATATCCAATGACAAAATTTATCTTTTGAGAAACATCAAAAAAATTAATTCTTGTGTTAGATGAGTTGTAAAAGTTGCAAAAGTCGTTGAAAAATGATGCAACCTTTCTCGCCGCGTTTCTATCTTCCATACCTATTGCGTTTCCTTTTCTCATGCCCTTCTTTTTCGCCTCCCTTATTTAGTCCCGAGGGTCGCATTACCAGACCACCGATATATATGTCGCGAAAGTAGAATGCGCGTGCCGGATTTCAACCGCGGGGAACCACTCGAATTCTAGACGAGCGGGACCGCTTTTATTATCGTCTGAATGACCGTACTCGAGAGCCTCGCGAGAAAAATACGCGAGGGGAAAATGTAGGAGGCGCCGACGAATGCACGGCAGTTAATATTTCGGCGCGCAGAGCGCGACGTGCAGCGATGGAGGAAACGTAGAGAACGGACGGATAGCGGGGCTGCCGTGTCGCGGAATTGACACGTGGTGCGCAAAAGTCCCGCAGGAAACTTTGCAATTTCCTCGACCACGTGCGCTCGCGCGCGCCCGTGCGCGAGGGAGCAGTGTGTTTCGCGGCAGGGTGACAAACTCCCACAAGTTTCGCCTCTAGTCCTCCT